TGATTGATTGAATACAAGTTTACAATGACACTTACATGTGTATGTACAGCAACATTTCCTGCACGTTTATAAAGTTGTCGATTTTACAAACAAAAGTTTTCCCTACAAATAACGCTCTACAAGTTTCCTTAATGCTTGAACCGTAAATAAGTTCATGGTAAATAACCTTCCACCGAATATCGTCCGATAACCTCTTCATTTTAATCAGTAAACTAGTAAAATCAACAAAGAACAGCCTACGAACACTAAAAGCGATTTAAAGTGCGCGCGCTTGTCAGTGTTTGTCACGCTATTTATTTTTCAACTGTTTCGTTGTAATTGTGAGCTGAGAAAGTTAAGTCAACCGAAACTAGTTTTTACAATAAGTTCGTTTTGTAGTGCGATCACAAACCGTAGGAATTTAGCCCACAGACATACATTAACCATGGTTTTTATACTTGGATAATTTTACCCGCTTCAAGCTGTGCCAGGTTACCAAGCGGTCGAGTGAATGACGGTCGAGTGAAAGTTTAGCGTCAGAAACAAAATTCGAGAGTTCGCACTCATTTGAAATCGGGTGTAAACAAATAAATATTTCTAAAATGAAAATTAAGTGAATTAGCTAGTTTCCTATTTAATTCGCTAATTTTAGTGGGAAATTTATTGATACGTTCGCGTTTGATAAGTCCGCGCCATTTTAATATCCTGGGTCCGCCTCTGCGCATTGTTACTTAAGTTTCTATGAATTGTTTTTGAATAGTTTACGCCACTCAGCTCGATAATTTCAAATTTTATACTAAATGTTCTGTCGTAGCTCCGTCTGTGTTAAAACACTAAATGCATCTTATTATAATAACTGATTATAAATTTCCGACAAGTACTCGTAGAGAGGTTTTGAGTGGACTATGAAATATATTCTTATCAATAGAAACTAGTGGACTTGAGGCCTAATAATATACTGGTTTTTAATTAACACTTATTTACTGCAACCGAGGGAAACAGCATGTTTTGTGGTCCCGAGACCGCTGATGTTTCCCGAAGCGAAGCTGAGGGAAACATCAGCGGTCGAGGGACCGCAAAACATGCTGTTTCCCGAGGTTTCCAGTAAATAAGTGCTTTATTATCATATCAAGTGTCAAAGAGAGCAAAAAAAAGTAAATAAATGACTATTGTTTTTATTAAAGATTTTGATAAAATAACTAAAAAATGGCAATACAAATAGTCACTAAAATCAATCAATGTAATAACACAATGAATACTAATTTAACTATTTGTAGTCGAAATTAAATGTTTCATAACAATTTTGGAATTGCAACGTCCGTAAATGTGACATTTTCACGACACTGAAGATTGTTTTTCTGCGACTTTGTACTTATTGACGGTCCACAACATATTATTGACCGCTGGTGGACAGTTGCCGGGAAACAGTAAAATTTTGTGACTTTCACGTGGTACACTCTCGACCAATAAGATACTAGGAAAAGTGAACTTTGACACTTGATATATAATAA